CCCGCTGCCCCGTCCTTGGACGGTGCACTCCCTCGTCCACAGTGGGAGCTGTTCCAAAGACGCAGCCTTGCGATTAAGGTGCTGCAGACATTGTCTGTATTGTGTATATTACTGAACCCCATTAAGGACTCTCTGAAAACCTGTAAGATTCTAGAGAGTGGGTGGGGAGACCTACTCATCTTTCAGTGCCAAAGACAAGCCTTGAATATAAGTCCCCTTGCTTACGAAACCTGCCACCTAGGGATCTAGAGTGGCCCGCCTCCTTTTTTCGTTTCCCCTTGCCCTCTGTCTGCAGAGGGGACCAGTTTCAGATTTAACACAGGGAACGCCCAAGGTTGCAAAGCAGCACAAGGCAATGTTTACGTGTTGTCTATCATCACCACAATTAAATTTCACAACACCCCCGGGAGGTAGGCCTGACTATCTCTACACCAGAAATAAAGAAACTGAAACCCAGGAAAGTGAGCAAATTACTCCAGGTCACACAGCCAGGTTAGAGCAGATTGGATTAAACCCGGGTCTGACTCCAAAGACCAGCACACTCTTGCAGCCGAATAAAGATGGGCACAGTGATACCACACCTCACACCTGTCAGCACAGCTATTATCAAAGAAAAAAAAAGACAAAAACAGAAATCAAATCGAAACCAAGAGAAACAGTGTTGGTGAGGATAGGGAGAAACTCAAAGTCCTGCATGGTGTGGGCGGAAATGCAAAATGGTGGAAACGCTGGAATGGGGGAAACAATGGAAAACAATATGGAGGTTCCTCAAAAATTAAAAATAGAGCTACCACATGATGCAGTCATCTCACCTTTGAATACGTATCCAAAGAACTGAAATTGGGATCTGAGCGATATTAGCACTCCAGGTTCAATGGAATACTGTTCGTAATAGCCAAGATGTATGGACGAGCTCCTTGTCCATCGACAGATGAATGGAGAAAGAACATGGAATACTGATCAGCCTCTCAAAAGAGGGACTAGAGAGCCTTCCGTCAATAGGCTAAAACCACCAGTCAGCCCCTTGCATTCCAAAGTACTCGCTGCTGGGTTCTTGTGCCCCACCTCCCAGCCTTGCCTGCCCCCAAGTCCCCAGGGGCCAGCCCACTTCCGAATGCAAACAGGGGGTATTTCCTGTGACCAAGTTCCTTGGTCCTTTAACAGGTGAGTGAGTGGTCAGACCCAGCTGGCCGCCGCAAGGTGGTGAGGGCAGCAGGAGTCTTGTGCACAGTATCCATCCAGCAACAGTGCCAAGAGGAAGCCAGCATCTCTCTACTGACAGGCTAGGTAAGGGGAGTCCTGGGACAAAGTCAGAACACAACAGTGGTTTGTGCGTTTAAGGAGACCCCTATTCAGATTCAACCAATGACTATTCCATGTCTGGTGTTGGGCTCATTTCATTCACAGGTTTTAAGCCTGAACATCGCCCTGTGACAGGGCCCTGTAATCATCCCAACCTCCAGGCCACACAAAATTGCAGAGGCCTCAGGGGGTCCAGATGCGAGCTCCAAGTCCAGCACGTTCTCCACAACAGCAGGATCCTTTTCAAGTTCAGGAAGCAGAGAAGGGAGCAGCCTCACTGAGGTCAGAGCATGGTCTCCCACCCTGTCCTCTCCTCCCCTTAGTCCATTTTAAGACTTCTGCAAGCTATTCTTTTCACTAAAATCCCTCTTGTGGCTTTGGTGATTGTGGTGATAAGATAAAGCCATAGCAAGCAAAGTCCTGGGGAGCCTTCCACTCACCCAGTCAGTGCATGCTTGCCTGCTAACCACCACAGACCCCGCAGCCTGGTGGAAACAGAACGCCAAAGAATACCATGGCCCTATCCCCAAGTAGCTCTCGGTTCAATGGCAGAGACCAGTCAGCAGATCAATTTAGTGTAAGGCACAAAATCCTACAGATGGGAATGTTGCAGAGGAGGGTGATTCTAGCTCAACTTGGGGTGGGAGCGGTGGGGGGGGGCAGCAAAACGCTTTCCAGAAGAAGCCACGTCAGAGCTGGGTCAAGGTGAAAATGAGTAGCCAGGAAAAAATAAGGATGAGCATTTAAGGCAAAGAGAACATGGTTAGGTAGGGTGGGGGTCTTTAGTCTCCACATTTGCTGTAGTCTACCTTCAAGACAGGAATGGGGCAGGCGGGAGGTGGGGATCGCATCTCATGGGCCTGATTCATTAAAAGAATAAAAGCATGCACTAGACTGTGAACCCACAGCCAGCCCAATTTCCTGGCCCCCTTATGCTATTAGCTACAGCCCAGAACAGGAAAATGGATGCTTCGAAGCACGAATTACAGTGCCTCACAAAATCCTGAATCATCAATGAAAAGTTCAATTTGTTTACTTGACTGCACTTGAGGACGGATGTACAGTACCTCCACTAAATAGGTAGGCTTCAGTTTTAGGAGTTCACACCAAGCCCAACAAGGTTTCATATATAATTCCCAATGAATCAGAAGCTGCAATCCACCACCGCCTGAGCCCACTCCGCGTGTCCCAAGCACCGTGCTTCCCTGGATTCTGACTAGTCCCTGTTTTGTTTCCAAATCCCATTTCTAGCCATTGCCAGCTGTGAGCTAGCACGTGGAGGCAGAGGTATTCTTATGAGCCCTGTGTTATCAGGGAGGTGAGGGGCACCCAATGATGCCCAGTGAAATACCAGAGCCCTGCAATTGTTGGCAGAGGGTCAGAACTGGGATCCAGCTCAGAAACACAGTTGAGGTCCCTCAATGTGAGACTCACTGAGGTCAAAGCATGGTCTGCAAGCAACATTGCATTCAGATGTTAGCAGCCAAAAGAGCCGCTGTGTGATTTCACAGAGGTTTCACTGAAGTTTTCTTATTCTCATCTCTAAAACGTAGACAGTAATTCCCACCTCATGAGATCCTGGAAAGAGTTCGATGAAATAAATGATTTGCATGTTTGAAAGCATCTGGCTAGGTCTTCACCTCTTCCTTATGCCACACTCTCAGATTTTCATGGTCCTCTCTGGGAAACAAGGCTACAGGTTTGGGCATTCTCAAATCTGCTTCTGCATGATGGAATAATCCGAAAGAAGGATAAAATCAAGGCTCTGTCAGTAATAGGGCTTAGTTATCCCTCCCCCAGGTTGGGCAAGGCAGAGCAGGGGTGCTGGCTAGGAATGGTGGGAGGTGAACAAAGAGGGACCCCGCAAGCTACAGTGGAACCCCAGGTTTGGAAGTCAGCCAATAAATAGTGAACGCCATTTACATGCAAAAAGACATATTGATTCTCTGTATGTTTGTGTGCACTCAAATCCGTACCTTTTTTTTTTTTTTACTATAACAATCCAGTATCAATTTAACTAATCATTTAATTTAACTGAACCCCCTTCGGTTCATTTGAACTAAACACAGTGCTAGAAACAGAGAAGAATATAATTTTCATCCATTTTTACCCCCCGAAGAAAGCAAATGGAAGAGTAACCCTTGCTAGCCCTTCTCTCCAGCCACTAACACCTGCAAATGCAGGCAGAGGTGGATGCCAGACGCTGGACCATCCCAAATCCACGTTCTTGGCCGGATGCCCCCCTCTCTGCTGCCAGTTCCTCAGTTTCAGGGAGGCATCCTCTCCAAGCTTCTATAACCTCGCAGAGAAACCTGTTGCCAAGTCTGAGGTCCTGTGCAGACGCCCCCACCTGGTGGCCAAATCTGGAAAAGCCACTGCAACCAAAGATGATTGGCAGGTAGCAACTCCAAGGCTCCCTAAACTCTCCAGGACCGCAACAGTCATGGGTCAGTCGAAGGAGGACACAGAGGAATATTCACAACTAAAGGCACAGAAAGGGTCAAAGTTATGGCCAATTCCCCGCCAAAACCCTGGTAACGTAGGGCTTCCCAAGAAGCCGCCATCAGAATGACTAAGCCACAGACAGGAAGCTAGGGGTAACTGGAAATGCCCTGCCAGCCCTGGGGTGTATGGTGACAGCTCTGATTTTCTCTCTTGGGTGAGGAATCACCACTACCATCCTCTCCCCTCTCCCCCAAGTGCAAGAAGATTTCCTGTCCCGAGTGTCAGTGCAGAAGATAGTTCCATCTTCCTTCCCTGGCAACACATTTTCATCCTGACCAGCAAGGAGACGCTTTCTAGGGGAAGGGTGCCTGGGGTCAAACCTCCAGTCAGGCCCCATCATATGGCCCGCACCCTCGTCCAGCCAAAGTGAGAGAAGGGGCAGCAGCTGACCTTGAGGGGATATCGGGACCAAATCATGGAGATGCCTCAGCCAAAATAACCCCAGCCCTCACCTCCTGGCACTGTTAAGCCTCAGCTTCTCTGTCTAGGCCGCAGCCTGGGAGATTCTCATTCTCTTATATTCTCTCTCCTGCTCATTAACTCCCATAAAAATAACCCAAAGACACTCATTTTGACCAGTCCAAGCCCCCAGCTAGAGCAACACCAGGTTGCATACCAGGATGGAGCCCTAAGGAGTAGCACAAGCAAGCGATTGATACCCGCGTTCATGCGCGCGCTCGTGCGCGCGCGCGCGCACACACACACACACACACACACACACACACACCACTGTGGGCAGTGTACCACTCCCATCCCTAACTCTGGGATGCATCATCTAAACTCAGTAGCGATCCCAGGAGAAGGGACCCACCCCAAGCAGAAACACAGAGCGTACGGAAGGGATCCGCTTTATCCTGTTCATCCTCCACGTTAATTGGAAAAGAAGCATCATTCTTTTAAGCTTCGATACCAACATCCGGAGAAGGTGCCATAAATGCGCATCCGCGCGCACACAAACACGCCAATCCGATCTCCAAATTAGCTGGGGAACCACGCTTGGATCCTCTAAGCCGTGGTGCCCAACACCTGGAGAGTGGCTCACAGACACACGGACACACACGGCGGAGAAACACGAATGATAGACTGTTCTCCTCAGCCGACGGGCGTCCCTGGGCTTTAAGGCCCCGCAGCGGTCCTGGCTGGAGCCCCCACCCCGAGCCCCAGCCCCCGCCGCCGAGCGGCTGGGTACTCACACGAGCGCGTGGTAGAGCAGCGCCCAGCCCCGCGGTCTCTCGAGGGCGTCGTAGATCAAAGTTTGGATGCGCCGGTACTTGGCGTTGTTCCTCTTGACAGGGCGGCTCAGGGGGGTCTTGGCCAGGAGCCCGATGCCCTGCGGGGTCCTCCGCAGACCCTCTTCGCGGCCGCCGCCCTCCAGCAGCAGGGTCCCGTCTTTGTCAGCTCCGGCCCCGAGCGCCAAGGTGACTTGCTCCACGTCTCCGGGCGCCAGCCCCACTTTCCGCTCCTCATCGCCGGCCGCCGCCGCGTCCCCTCCGGCGGGGTTAGCGGCCCCGCCGCCGCCGCCCCCGTCGCCGCCGCCGGCAGCCGCCCCCGCCGCCCCCGCCGCCCTGCGCGCCTTGAGCCCCATCTGTCTCGCCCCCGCCGGCCGCTTCGCCTTCTCCGCTGCTGCTCCGGGAAGAAGGGGCGCTCGGGGTGCGTGGATGAGGCGGCGGCGGCGGCTGCAAGCCCAGGAACTCCAATGCCATGATCCGCGCGCCGCTCCCCACCCACCCCCCCAAAAGCAAGCAAAGGAGGGCCCCCCGGGGGGCAGGGGAGGCCAGGCAGCGGGAAGGGGTCACATCCCGCACAGGTCAGCCGCGGGACCCCGAGGGGCGCGAGCCGCGGACTGCGGGGAGCGGGCGAGGGCGCGCGAGGCTGGCGCGGAGGCGCTAGGGCGCGCGGCAGCGGGAGCCTGGCACCGGCGCTCCGGGGCGGCGGCGGCGGCGGCACCCGGGCCGGCGAGCCCGAGACAGCATCGCAGTTTATTTACAAGCCGGGTGCCAACCGCCCGCCAGCCCGCCAGCCACACGCGCTGCCGCCGCCTCCGCCCTCCTCCGCACTCCCCCCGCCGCGCCCCTCCCCGCCCGCTCCAGCCTCAGCCCCGCAGCAAACGCCTTGAGCCAGAGCGCCGCGGGCCGAGCGCTCGCCGCCGCCGCCCCCCGCCTCCCTCGCCGGGGTGGGGCCCCATTGTCCCGCCCCGTCGCGGCGGGAGGCCTTCCCGGCGCCCCGCCTCCCCCCCTCCGCCGCCCCCCACCTCGGAGCATCCCGCGGGCGGTCTGCGCTGAGGCCGCGGAGCCAGGCTACCCTTGTTCCCGTGGGCGTTAGGGCTTTCCCCGGGCTGGGCGCGGGGGCAAAGCGGAGAAGGCGCGGAGGGACTGAGGCCGGGGTTCGTCTGTAGACCTTCGGCGCTGGCCTGACTGCTGGAGCTTTCTGTTCTCCGGTCGCCTCCCAGCCCTGCTTTTTGGCTTTGGAAGTAAAATCCAAGTTGCTGGGTTGGCCAAGGCCAAGCGCGCCCTAAGCCCACAGACTCTGGGTGGCTCCCTGTTCGCTTTCTGATTCATGGTGGACATTGCCGCCCTCACCTCCCTTGGCCCTTCGCCCTTGCCGGCTCTGGCAAGCAGAGGGTTGAAGAAATACAAAGAACTCGCGGAATTGGCTTGGCTTCTAACTTGGACTCTAGCAAGCCATTCCCTCTCCTGCCTGAGCCTGTTCATTCATTCAATTGCTAAACCCTAAGCGAGCTTCTATTGAGAGGGGCAGTGTTCTCGGACCTGAGTATAGCAGATCCCTGCACTCCTAAAGCTTGCATTCTGGAAAGATAGAAGATAATAACGGAAAACAAACATATATAGTGTAATTGCCAAGACTGGTGGATGCTTTGAGGAAGCAAAATAGCGTGCTGTGCTTGAAGTAGGGAATTTTTTTACATTGGCTGATCCTGGAAGATCTCCTTGCGGAGGCGACATTTGGGGGTAAGACCTAAGTGACAAGCTGGGGCAACTATGGAAACGTCAGGAAGAGCATTCCAGGCAGCAGAAGAGGAAGCTCAAAGATGAAGTGTGGCTTGAGTGCATTAAGTGCAGAGGAAGGGGAGGCTACAGTTAGGCAGGGCCTAGATCACATTAAATCAATGGCAGAGGTCGGTGAGGGCCCCCTGTACTTTGAACCTAACATCTCCTTCATCCATGGCCACCACCATTACAGAGATCCTGCTGCCCCCGGTACCTGGAACCTCCTTCACTTCCCACTCTCTCCAGGCTTGTCTTGGGCAGAGGGAAGGGTTATGGGCAAGGCCAAGTCAAGGATCCTTGGCTTATGGGAGCCCCCAGAAGGCCTTCAAAGGAATGCCAGGAGTTGGCCAAGGAGAGGGAGAGAGAGAAAGGGAGAAGACTGAAGGAGAGGGGAGGTGGGATGGGGGAGGGGAAAGGCATAGAGAGAAAGAAGGGAAAGGGCAAAGAGGGAGGGGGAGAGAAGGAAGAGTGAGTGTGGGAATGAGGAGGAAGGAGGAGGATCTGTATGAAATGAATGCCAGAGGGGAGAACCTCAGAAATCTCAACCAATAAGGGTAGTTTTGAGAAAGGAGTTAAACCATACCCAGCCTGAAATCATTGGACAGTGTTGTGTAGGCAAAAAAGAACTAACCACTCAATGCTACAGAAGAATTTGTCCAGAAAGTGACTCTAATATGGGACCTTCATATAGAATAAGAGCCTCAACCTGACTGAGAAAGATTATTCATCAGTCGGTGGGCTGCAGGATGCCCTTTGTGAAGACTTTATTAACTGCCTTCAGACCTGTGACTGCACCCACTGTAGGACCCCCACTAATGCTTATGAAGAGAGTGGTGCTCAGCCATGAATTAGTTGGAGGCTGGTAAGTAACCACTCAGTGCAAACTCTGGAAAGAAGAAAACATGCAGAGAAAAGGACCGGCTTAGGTGAGAGAAGCTCCAAATGGAAGCTGCACAGCCCCCTCCCCCAGTCACGCTCCTGAACATCTGTTTTCCCTCTACTCCCAGCACACCAGCGTGAGTGGGTGAGCTTTTCATCGCAGTCCTATCCCAGCCACCTAGGGAACAATTCCATCCTTCATGTTTGAGCCCCTTTTCTAAAGTTGCCCTCAATCCCTTCCTATTTTGTTAGTTAACTTTATCACTGCCTAAAATGATCCTATCTGCCTTTTGTTTACTACTATCTCACTAAGCAGGAGCAGGGACTCGGGGTTCTATCTCTGCAGCCTAGAAGGATGCCTGCTGTTTAGTAGGCTCTCAATACCTGTTCATGAATGAATGATGAATAAGTGAATTCAGAATGGAAAGCCGCAGAACAATGCTTGGCTCGCAATGCAACACTGGCTGTATGTTTGTGTATGAGATTTCGGGTTTTGTCTTCTACCACTGGGAAAGTCTTTATTCTTAGAAAGTCTTAGTACTCATTGCAACTCAAGTAACATGGTGACAAAAAAAAAAAAAAAAAAACATTTTGACAGAATTTAAAATAACAAGACTCACCAGATAAGCGTCAAAGGAGATTAGTCGAGGACCCCATAGAAGACATCATTACTGTGCAATTAATCAAAAGTTCAGATTTTCAGAATAACAGTTGGGATCCTCCAGCATGTGAGGAGACTACTATTTTGATGAGAGCTGCAGATGGTCAATTATTAATGTTTTAAGATCAAGTGCAGGGGCTAAGTTTGTGCCTCCCACAAAGTGTGAGGTAAAATCACTATCAAATTCATAACTCTGATCCAGTTAAATCCAATGATAGGGAAACTGCTATGTAGTTTGGAAATTGGTTTGCTTAATGATTTTATAATCCAATGCAGAGTGTTGGCTTGGAAACGTCACAAAAAACGGGATGCAGTCTTGGTGCCATTTGGGGGACTATGTAATCTCAACACTCCATAGCACAGATTCCAGCTAACTGAAGTCAAATGTCCTAGATTCCATTGAGAGGAATCTTCTTTGAGGCTTAAAATCCCTGAGAACCTCAGGTACCTAGTGGGAGTTGGTACCATGACAGAGTTCATTGACACAGTATCCATAAGGGCCAGACTGGGGCCATGGTACAAACAACAAATTCCGCTGCTGGTTTACACCCCAGCTCTGCACAACCTCAGTGTGTGACCTTGAAAACCCAACCAACTCCTAGTCTTCAGATTTGCCACCTGATACCCCTCCCCTTGCCTTTGATTTGTTTCCCATTTCACTGGTCTTCATCTCACTGTACATTAGGACCGACGAACTCCTTCTCTCCTGCAGGTGGGGAGACTTCCTGGGAATGAGTAAGGAGAGAGAAGCCAAGAGACCTTCTCTGAGCCTCAGTTCCTCCCTCTGTACATCCTGCTTCCCCAGGGGTGTAAGCCTCCTGTGACGAGACGCACAGAAACATGCTTGCGGAGAGATGATGCCCGAGTGACGATTTCTGTAATCGAAGGGGCAGGACAGAATCTCAGGTTCATGGGCACAAGTTAACGGGGTCCCTACCCACCCTCTCACCCTGTTCCCCAAAATGCATTAAATGACTGTCTTGGACCATGTTTAAATTTGCTTTTAGTATTTGTTACACAAGAAGTGCCTCGTCGTTGGAGAGGAATTATGAAATACAAAGCAGCAAAAAGGCAGCAACAATAATTTGTCATCTGGGTACCCAGAAGCACTCTCTGTTAATAGTCTGGTGGCAACTATTGCTAAAGCTGTTGCAGCATGCCTGACCTGCAAACAGAGAAGACGGACGAGGAGCGTCCAGTATGGCATTCCCCCAGTGCTTCAGCCAGCCACGTGGTGGCAGGTTGATTCCATTGGACCTTGCAGTCATGATTTGGGTGGGTGGGGATGTGTCTCTGGTAGAAGAGATGCATTTCCTGGATACAAAGTTGCCTTCCCTGCCATCATGCTTCTGCCAACATCACCATCCGTGGACTTACGAATACTTCTCTATCACAGGATTCCATGAAAATGCTTCTGACCAAATAACATAGCCCCAAAATGCTTGCTCTACACCTGGTTATAAATCTACCTCTGGGAGGAGCCAGTGAGACAAGTCTTCCTGTTTGGGGTCTTGTAACAATTCAAGCCAAAAGCACATAGATTTGGAAAGGAAGGTTCCCCTCTATACATTCTTTATCCTTGAAAGCTTAACTACAGCAAATCCTCAGAAGTGCCGCCCTCCTTCCTTCTGCCATGCTTTTGCTTTGTTTTCCTTTTCCTGGACTTTACATCACTCTACTGTAGAGCATAAGGACTCTTGATCCCTTGCAGGTGACACACCTTCCCAGGAATGAATAAGAAGAAACAGGCAAAAAGACACCCTTGCACACATCACCCAAAGGATGAGGTCAGCCTAAGCTATGGAATTTAGACCCTGATTCAAATTCTAGTGCTGGCTCTGTGACTTTGAGTTTGGTGACCTTGGAAAAGTTACTGGACTGTTTCCTTATTGATAAAGTGGGGTAATGTTTCCCAACCTCCCTACCTCTGACTTGGCCTGAACACCATTCAGGGATCCATTTTGAGGTAGAGCTTTGCAGTGTGTGATATACTGCACACATTTACTACATTATTCCAAGGAGTCTGGACACATGACTGTGGACAGCAGCTCAAGTCAGGCGTGATGGGGAATGAATGAGCTCGGAGCAAAATGAATTAAAGAACTTCTCTTAGATGGTTCTCAATTAGAAAAAGTGTTTCTTTTCCCTGCCTTGC